TTCGAAAAATAAACGAAATTATTAATATATATATATATATATATATATATATATATATATATATATATATATATATATATATATATATATATATTATATATATATATATATATATATTATATATATATATATATATATATATATATATATATATATATATATATATATATATATATATATATATATATATATATATGTATAATATATATATATATATATATATATATTATTAACAGAACTGCGGCTAGCCAGGATTCGACCCTGTCAGGATAATGTACACAACCCTCTATCCACTGGATTCGTACATTGTGCTGTTCTCACAGGGCTGGGCACTGTGACGCAGGATCAAATCCTGGCTAGGCACAGTTCTGTTAATGATTCAAAATCACTTGTTTCGTGATTTCAATGTATATATATATATATATATATATATATATATATATATATATATATATATATATATATATATATATATATATATATATATATATATATATATTCATCTCCAAAAAAATGCATAAACTAGTGAGCATCGACCTTACTAGATAATAATGCTAATGAGAAATTAAACAAAAACTAAATACAGATCTTACCAGAAAAACTAGCAAAAATAAATAGAAATTACGTTATAACAACACAAGAACTCTCAGTCAAGATCATCAAACACTACGAATGTAGATCAACCAACTTAACAAACTGCCCTACAAGTACAGAGTCTAAAGACTACACTAAAAAATATAAGTATGCGGGCTGGGGGGATTTAGGGAAGGAAAAGAACGTGTGAGCATCGGAGTAGCAGAGGGATCCGACACGCTAGGCAAGGTACCTTGATTCTCTCCAGGCGAGGTCAGGGTGTAGGAGGCCAGAGTCCAGTGATGAGTTTCTGCTGTCTTCTCCGTCGTCTGTAAATATAGAATAGCATTGAGGTCCATATATTTATTGATATTTTCACATCTATGCCAAGAGATTCAAGAACTGGAGGCTCGATCCTCCTGGAAATAATCACGATATAGAAACACACTCTGCCTATGGGCAGTTCCTTGATGTTGGTGAGGGGCTCTTGATTTAGGGAATTGGATCTGTGCTCCAGTTCCCAGAATTAAGCCTGAATGCCTTCCACATCATCCCCCCCAGGCGCTGTATTATCCTCCGGGTTTAGCGCTTCCCCCTTGATTATAATAATAATAATAATGCTTATGGGCAGATGCATAAGTGAGGATGTTTGGATGTGAGATCGACCCGTCTTGTATGGGCTATTTGGCTTATTATAAGTCGGTAGGCTTAGTGTAGACCATTTCTCGCGTTTTTACTCCAGACACATTTGAGAGACATTTATGAGAGACAGTTTGAGAGTCACTTTCTCAGTTTATAATAAAAATCAGAGAATAAATTTACACTATTCCGTAACAGATATGTAATCATGTACAAAATAACAAAAACTATATTAATAAGAGAAATAAAAATGTCAGTATTAATAATAATTATAAAATAATTTGTTTTCCAAGGAGATTCACTTGTGTTGCAAAAATTAGCTTAAAGTATTATTTACACGAAAAAACTATAATCTTTAAGAGTATTTCAGATAAATATTATCTAAGAATATTACTGACTGAATATTATATATATATATATATATATATATATATATATATATATATATATATATATATATATATATATATATATATATATATATATATATATATATATATATATATATATATATATATATATATATATATATATATATATATATATATATATATATATATATATATATATATATGGAATGGAGCGAAACAGAATGACTTCAAGAGTGTATCAGTCTGTAGTGGAAGGAAGGCGGGGTAGGGGTCGGCCTAGGAAGGGTTGGAGGGAGGGGGTAAAGGAGGTTTTGTGTGCGAGGGGCTTGGACTTCCAGCAGGCATGCGTGAGCGTGTTTGATAGGAGTGAATGGAGACAAATGGTTTTTAATACTTGACGTGCTGTTGGAGTGTGAGCAAAGTAACATTTATGAAGGGATTCAGGGAAACCGGCAGGCCGGACTTGAGTCCTGGAGATGGGAAGTACAGTGCCTGCACTCTGAAGGAGGGGTGTTAATGTTGCAGTTTAAAAACTGTAGTGTAAAGCACCCTTCTGGCAAGACAGTGATGGAGTGAATGATGGTGAAAGTTTTTCTTTTTCGGGCCACCCTGCCTTGGTGGGAATCGGCCGGTGTGATAATAATAAAAAAATATATATATTATATATATATATATATATATATATATATATATATATATATATATATATATATATATATGCAAGGAATTCGCGAGAGCATGCGAAATATACACAAACACTGATCTCTGGCTGAAGGAGACTCGAACCTACGAACCTTAGGACAAGGTACGCAGTGCTTTACCAATCTACCCACAGTGGACCAATACCTTGGCGTGTAGCATGAGCTACACGTTTGATCCAAGGCAGCCAGCTTTCAGGGAGAAGGCTTACAGCTTTTCATAGTAAGGCTGATGCATGCAGGGGATGAGATGAAAAGCTGTAAGCCTTCTCCCTGAAAGCTGGCTGCCTTGGATCAAACGTGTAGCTCATGCTACACGCCAAGGTATTGGTCCAGTGTGGGTAAAGCACTGCGTACCTTGTCATAAGGTTCGTAGGTTCGAGTCTCCTTCAGCCAGAGATCAGTGTTTATATATATATATATATATATATATATATATATATATATATATATATATATATATATATATATATATATATATATATATATATATATATATATATATATATGTCGTGCCGAATATGTAAAACTGGTCATTTAGCAAGAACTCATTTAAAATCAAATCCTTTCTGAAATTTTCTCTTAAACGTTTAAAGATATATTTTTTTCATTAATATTAATGTAAAAATTTTTAATATTACACCAAAAGAATCTTAGAAAACTTACCTAACCTTATTATAACAAGAGCAATTTATTTTAGCCTAACCCAACTAAATATATTTTAGATTTGTTTACAGTAATTTAATACTAAACAAACACAGTGAAGTATATTTTTTTCGTTAGGTTCAGAATGATTTTGGCGAAATTATTGCATACATAAATTTTCACTTGTCAAATATGGCAAGATGAGCGTTGCTATTTAAGCCAAGATGGCAGGTTCTGCCTATTCGGCACGACATATATATATATATATATATATATATATATATATATATATATATATATATATATATATATATATATATATATATATATATATATATATATATATATATATATATATATATATATATATATATATTGAAAACAGTATGGTATATACTCAGACAGGTTTATGTCTCTAAGTGTTTGTAGGCTGTTAGGTTACTTGAACTGCTGTTTCATCAACCAACCTACCAACAAGAAGCAAGAACAACAACTATTTTCCTCTCTAACAAACCACAAGTTAATTACTGCACAAAAGGGAATGTGTGTGTGTGTGTGTGTGTGTGTGTGTGTGTGGTGTGTGTGTGTCGTTTTTCCTTGACACACACCAGCCTTGGAAACATTAAAGTGAGCAGTGCAGCACTGGCCACAGCAGCCAACTCTCTTACTGCTTGTATTGCTGCTGCAGCTGTTAGTGTCGATGTTGTTTTGCTGTTGCTGCTACTGTTACTGTTTTCTTCTGTTGCTGCTGCTATTGTTAGTGTTGCTGTTGCTAGTATTACTGCTACTGTGGCTGTTACTGCTGCTGCAGCTAGTATCATGGCTTCACCCGTCAGCGCTGTTATTGCTGTTAATGCTGTTACTACTACTGTCGCTGTTACGTTTGTTGCTGCTGCAACTGTACTTGTTACGTTTGCTGTTGCTTCTGTTGCTGCTGTTGTTTGTACTCATGCTGCCGCTGTTATTCTTGATTCTGCTGCTATTTTCTGTTGCTGTTGGTACTACTTCGTCTGTTGCTATTTTTTGCTGCTGCTTATGATTTTGCTATTGTTGTTGATGTTGACGGTGTTGTTGGTGCTGATGGTGCTGTTGGTGCTGTTATTGTTGGTGCTGATGGTGTTGTTGGTGCTGCTGCTGTTGGAGCAGATGGTACTGTTGCTGCTCCTTTTCCTTTTTCCTGATGTTGTTGCTTCTGCTGTTGCTGCTGTTGCTGTTGTTGTTGTTGCTGCTGCTGATGTTGTTGCTACTGCTGTCGCTGCTGCTGTTGTTCTTGCTTTTGCTGCTGATGTTTAACAACAGTTGTTGCTGAAGATGCTGTTGTTGCTGCTGCTGCTTTTGTTACTGCTGCTGTTGTTGCTACTGCTGGTATTTCTATTACTGCTGTTGCTGCTGATGATGTTGTTGTTTCTGCTTCTGTTGTTGCTGCTTTTGTAACTATTTGTGTTGTTGCTGCTGATGCTGTTGTTGTTGCTGTTGATGCTGTTGTTGTTGCTGTTGATGCTATTGTTATTGCTGTTGATGCTGTTGTTGTTGCTGCTGATGCTGTTGTTGTTGCTGCTGATGCTGTTGTTTTTGCTGCTGATGCTGTTGTTGTTGCTGCTGATGCTGTTGTTGTTGCTGCTGATACTGTTGTTGTTGCTGTTGATGCTGTTGTTGTTGCTGCTGATGCTGTTGTTGTTGCTGCTGATGCTGTTGTTGTTGCTGCTGATGCTGTTGTTGTTGCTGGTGATGCTGTTGTTGTTGTTGCTGATGCTGTTGTTGTTACTGCTGATGCTGTTGTTGTTGCTGCTGATGCTGTTGTTGTTGCTGCTGATGCTGTTGTTGCTGCTGATGCTGCTGTTGTTGCTGCTGATGCTGTCGTTGTTGCTGCTGATGCTGTTGTTGTTGTTGCTGATGCTGCTGTTGTTGCTGCTGATGCTGTTGTTGTTGCTGCTGATGCTGTTGTTGTTGTTGCTGATGCTGTTGTTGTTGGTGCTGATGCTGCTGTTGTTGCTGCTGATGCTGTTGTTGTTGTTGCTGCTGATGCTGTTGTTGTTGTTGCTGCTGATGCTGTTGTTGTTGTTGCTGCTGATGCTGTTGTTGTTGCTGCTGATGCTGTTGTTGTTGCTGCTGATGCTGTTGTTGTTGCTGCTGATGCTGTTGTTGTTGTTGCTGCTGATGCTGTTGTTGTTGTTGCTGCTGATGCTGTTGTTGTTGTTGCTGCTGATGTTGTTGTTGTTGCTGCTGATGCTGTTGTTGTTGTTGTTGCTGCTGATGCTGTTGTTGTTGTTGCTGCTGATGCTGTTGTTGTTGTTGCTGCTGTCATCCCCAACATAACACACATATATTTTTAATTAAAACCATCACACAACACAGTCATGGTTCTGACAGCACTGCGCATCCAGTATTTTTTTTCAGTATTTTAGTTACATTTATTTCTTGGCTAATTAATTAAGTTGTGTATTGCTTTTCAGCTTAATGCTGAAATAGTGATTGAAAGTCAATATCTTTATTCTTAATTCAATTATGTGTGTGTGTGTGTGTGTGTGTGTGTGTGTGTGTGTGTGTGTGTTGTGTGTGTGTGTGTTGTGTGTGTGTGTGTGTGTATGTGTGTGTTGTGTGTGTGTGTGTGTGTGTGTGTGTGTGTGTGTGTGTGTGTGTGTGTGTGTGTGTATGTGTGTGTGTGTGTGTGTTGTGTGTGTGTGTGTGTGTGTGTGTGTGTGTGTGTGTGTGTGTGTGTGTGTGTGTGTTGTATGTGTTTTGTGTGTGTGTGTGTGTGTGTGTGTGTGTGGGGTTGTGTGTGTGTGTGTGTGTTGTGTGTGTGTGTGTGTGTGTGTGTGTGTGTGTGTGTGTGTGTGGTGTGTGTGTGTGTGTGTGTGTGTAATTGCCTCATATATTTCATTCATTTTTTCACCATTCTTTGGGTCTCAAAAAAAAAAAAATATCCATCTGGCGGCTTTAATTCCTGTATTACAATTGTTTTCTTCTTATCCCAGTTGAAGGCGTCAAAAAATCCTCCTTATCTATTGTGTTACTTTATATTTTCTTCCTCTCAGCCAGTGTTGATATCTTAAGTATTATTTTCTCAAAAATAAACAGTAAGTATTTTTTTTCCATTCATTTTTCCTATTTTTACAATATGCTATATATTTGGTTAATTCCTGTATTACAATTGTCAAAATTCTTTTTTGCTCTAAAATTTATCTATTTTACTTAACTTTCCACCTTTCTTGAAAATTTCACTTTTTATTGAATATCTAATAGATTTAGCGTCAGGAATTTTTTCAGACAAAAGCCAATTGTTTGCTGATTTTAATATCTTGATTTTTCTTGTTTTAATACTTTGCAATATTTTTAATTTCTAACGAAACTGACCTTAGTTTAAAGACTTCCACTTCCACATTTGTTTTAAAATTTATGCACAATTAAAGCACATATCCATTTGTCTTTAAAGGGTGATAAATTTTTTTAAGTGAATTTAGTTATTCTCATACTTTTTTTAAAAACTCTGGATTATTTTATTAGTTCTATCTTATCTTTCTTGGCTAAATCAAATCTTTCTTACCCTCTTTTTTTAGATATCCAATAACCGCTTCTGTGTTAATTTCTAAGTTTTTGCTTACTTATTTCCATTTTTTCTTTATTTTTTTATATGTTTATGATAACACAACGGATAATCGGTTTATGATAACACAGACGTAGATTACGTTTATGATAACAGACTTATACTCGCTTTTTGTAACACAGATAGATAACTACTTTTTATTGATAATACAACTAGTATTATTTATAACATATGCTATTATCTAGTTTATGATAACACAGACGTAGATAACTACGTTTATGATAACACAGACGTAGATAACTACGTTTATGATAACACAGACGTAGATAACTACGTTTATGACAACACAGATGTAGATTACGTTCATGATAACAGGGACGTAGATAACTACGTTTATGGAGTAACTTTCAATGCGAACATATTGACTGATGTTGCAGCAGCCAGGTTTAGGCTTGACTACAACTGCTTCTGGAAGTTTGGCAGACACACAGATGATCACACTAACTGTAAAGTATGTGGCCAGTCTTATGGTTACTTTCTTGAACAATCTGTACTTAACTGTCCATTCATTGAGGATCACAAAGATAGTGCAATGACTTATGTGATATTTCAGGGTATCTTACTAATGAAAATAAGATACCAGACATATTAAGCAAATATCCCAAAATTAGCTTGTAACAGAGAAGTCAGTTGTATATATTAATCCAGAAGTGCTCCTGTGAACCCTTTTGGGGCTAAATTCCTAGAACTTTTGTGTATCCATGAGTTCTTCCGCTACCATCCATAGGATGGATATATGCTACATGATAAACTAGCCTTCCACGGTTTATATACTTTTAATTGGTGTAATCTTCTTAGGCACTTTGTCGTATCATTGATGTATTTTTCTTCCTCTTTGTCGCCTTTTGCTTATGATTTGATTGTTTTTTTTTTCTGTACAGCCAAAAACAATAATAGCCTTTTCCCTATCAACAGTTTCCCCTTTAATAACATAAGAGATATTCGAAGTCTCCTATTTTATTCCAGTATTAATGTCAGTCTTAGGTGTAATTTCAATAGCCAATGGTATCTGCTTTTCTGCTAGTTTTCTAGTCGTAAATAGCAAGCAGATACCGACAAAATGTTGAAAGGGACAATTGCGTACAATTCAGGACGTTTCATCACGAGTGGCTTTGTAAGAATTCACTAGGGGCGAAACGTTTCATTTAACAAATGTCCTGAAGTGAATGCACGTCTCCTCCACACTATTAATTTTCTTAAGTTATTTTTTACCTATCTAACTTATCTCTTAGCTTTATGCGTTTCTAGGTCTTTCATCTCCTACTCAGAGTTTTTGTCTGCATTACTGTTGATATAAGAATGCAACGCTTGTTTCCCTGGTTATGTCTTTTGTTTTGCCTCGTTGAATACGCTTCCAAGCCTTGTATCTTCTGTATTTCAGACTCATTCTTTATCAGTTACTAGTGTGTGTGTGTGTGTGTGTGTGTGTGTGTGTGGTGTGTGTGTGTGTGTGTGTGTTGTGTGTGTGTGTGTGTGTGTGTGCGCAAAGGCTAGAAATCTTCGTACAAATATGTTCCGCTGGGCCAGAGGCGGATTCTGGTAATCCTCTCTCCACTAAGCCTGGCCAATATCCTGTATAAATCATTGCAGAATCCTGGCAAGCATATGCAATCTCTTGCCATCTGTTTCGCTTTCAGTTTCCTCTCTCATTCCCGTCTCTCTTTTCCCCCACCCTAAATCTCTTTCTTCCCCTCTCTCTCTCTTTCTCTCTTTCACTCTGCGGTTCCCTCTTCCTCTTGCACAGATTGAGGGAGTTTCATACTCACTCATTTATGTTCTCTCTCTCTCTCTCTCTCTCTCTCTCTCTCTCTCTTCCCTCTGGCTGTAGCAACAAACAAGCTCAGGTTAACTTTACCTAGCACCCCACTACACATGTTTAAGATAAATTGATGGATAAGAAGAATACGCTGTCCAGGGATTGTGTGTTCGCAAACTTCTGCAGGAAGGGAGTGGCTACCATTCAGTATTATCCTGGGGTTCACTGGAACATTTTTGATCATCCGGGAGTTTACTGGTATCATCGGAGCATTTCGAAGTAAATATTTTTAGATATTCCAGAGTTTTCACGCATCTTTGGCGTTATCATACCTAGTCTTGAAATATCGTACGAAGTTTTCGTACACTACTTTTTCAGCTGACTCCTTCCACTTTTGCCTTACAGTGCCACAAAATCTCGAGAGGTTATCTGCGTGTGTGTGTGTGTGTGTGTGTGTGTGTGTGTGTGTGTGTGTGTGTGGTGTGTGTGTGTGTGTGTGTGTGTGTGTGTGTGTGTTGTGTGTGTGTTGTGTGTGTGTGTGTTGTGTTTGTGTGTTTTTTGGGATCTATTTATGCCTCCTTATTCTTGTCTCTGTCTATTTATCTATTTCTCTTACGTGACAGTTATAATTAAAAATATCTTCTTATTAAGCAAAAAGAGTAGAAAATCGCCGTTATTCGTCAAGCTTATGTGCTTGTCTAGCGGCGGGCCTCACAGAGGTGCTGGATATGCGAGGACTGGCTTGACATGTGTAGTGTACAGGATCTTCAACAACTTGTCTTTAGGTTACTAAAGACAGTTCTTGTATTTGCCAGCTTTGCAACGCAGCTAATGTCTCTCTCTCTCTCTCTCTCTCTCTCTCTCTCTCTCTCTCTCTCTCTCCCTAAATATGTATCTGATTCCTTCCATTTCTCCTTCTTACTCTAAGCTGTACCTAATATCCCATCTTCCACTGCTCCCTTCACCCCTCCAACCTTCCCTCCAACCTTCCCTCCACGCCTCCACCCTCCACTCACCGGAGCCAGAGCGCACGGAGGAGGGTCGCCGGATGGGAGGAACAGCAAAGTCGTAGGAAACAATGGATCCTCTAGGAGTGGCGTTGGCGCTACGCGATCTCCGCTCCTGAAGGCGGTACCAGGTAGGACGCTCGTCCAAGTAGGCGTGTCGCAGGTCGATCAGCGTCTCACCTGTAGAGAGAGGAGGTCGATCAGTGCGTCAACTGTAGGGCAAGAGGTCGACCAGTACGTCAGCTGAGGCAAGAGGTCAACCAGTGCATCACAGGGGCTGGGTGAGAGGGCAGCTGAATGGATGGTGGTCTCTTGTGTACACTAGGACAGGTCAATCATATCCTATCCATCAATTCAAGAGAATTCATCTGCCATCAGTCTGTTGGTTCCACATCTGCCGAGACATTGGTAGCGTATACCTTAGATAACGTCTGCCTATAATAACTTACACTGACCCGTTTGGGAAATAAGACTCATGTCCATGTTACTGATACTGTAGGTACGAACACTGAAGACAGGACACCACGGACATAACTCTGCTCCTTTATATATGACCACTGAAGACTGGACACCACGGGCATAACTCTGCTCCTGTAATTACGAACACTGAAAACAGAACACCACGGACATAGCTCTGCACCTGCAGAGGCGACACCACTACTATAGCCCTGTTCCCCTAACTACTAAGCACTGGCGACGGGGACTACAAATAAGTATCCACTACTTTTCACAGGTACTCACCCAGAAATCCATTCTCCGTGTCAGAGACGTAATCCCAGACGGACATTTCCATAGTAAGACCCATGAGTGCGTCTGCCGTGAGGCCCTCCCAGATGAAGGAAGAGTTCCACATAGGCTTGCAGGAAGATTCTGCCACTCCCGTGCTGTAGATCTTGCAGTCACTGTAAAAGACACGTGTGTTTATGTATTGCAAAATAATCACAGGAAACAATTGGTGCATTCAAGCCAGGCAAAGAAAAATTGTTTTGATATAACTCTTTGGTATATATATATATATATATATAATATATATATATATATAAATATATATATATATATATATAATATAAATATATATAAAATATATATAAATATAAAAATATATATTTTTTTTTTTTTTTTTTTTTTTTTTTTCTCAACAAGTCGGCCGTCTCCCACCGAGGCAGGGTGACCCAAAAAAAAAAGAAAGAAAATCCCCAAAAAGAAAATACTTTCATCATCATTCAACCACTTTCAACCACACTCACACATTATCACTGCTTTTGCAGAGGTTGCTCAGAATACAACATTTTTAGAAGCTATACGTATAAAGATACACAACATATCCCTCCAAACTGCCAATATCCCAAACCCCTCCTTTAAAGTGCAGGCATTGTACTTCCCATTTCCAGGACTCAAGCCCGACTAAAATGAAAATAACCGGTTTCCCTGAATCCCTTCACTAAATATTACCCTGCTCACACTCCAACACATCGTCCAGGTCCCAAGTATAAATTCGTCCTCCATTCACTCCTATCTAACACACCCACGCACGCCCGCTGGAAGTCCAAGCCCCTCGCCCACAAAACCTCCTTTACCCCTCTTTCCAACCCTTTCGAGGACGACCCCCCAAACCCCCCTTTTCCTTCCCCCATAGATTTATATGCTTTCCCATGTCATTCTACTTTGATCCATTCTCTCTAAATGACCAAACCACCTCAACAACCCCTCTTCTGCCCTCTGACTAATGCTTTTATTAACTCCACACCTTCTATATATATATATATATATATATATATATATATATATATATATATATATATATATATATATATATATATATATATATATATATATATGCCTAACAATTCGCAAATGAGCAAACTTTTAACAAACATTATCTCAGTCCACAGCAAGATTCGAACCTACACACTCTGTAACAAAGTACGTAGTACTTACGCCACTTGACCAGATTCCAGATAGTGGCGTGGGTGTACGTGAGTCGAGAATGATACCCTATTTCATAAGCATTAAAGGAATTCAAACTTAAAACCCTAATTGAATTCAAAGAACCGAGATTCTTCACACTAATGGAGAAATACATACACGACGTGTTTTCTTCAGAGTGAGAGTCGTATATACACTGGTGATTGCACTAATTGGATAAGTGATATCTATTGGGAGTTGCCGAGGCGCGCGTATGTTGAGAGAGGCCAGGTGTGTGGATGATAGCAAGGGTGAGGCTCATTAAGTCAGGTGTGAGTCAATTAAGGTTAGGTGCATCACTATGACCACCACCACCACCACCACCACCACCATTACCATTCACTCTGTCTCTCTCTGTCTCTGTCTTGTCTCTGTCTCTCTCTCTCTCTCTCTCTCTCTCTCTCTCTCTCTCTCTCTCTCTCTCCTCTCTCTCTCTCTCTCTCTCTCTCTCTCTCTCTCTCTCTCTCTCTCTCTCTCTCTCTCTCTCTCTCTGCTTCTCACACACACACAAACTCCCACGAAACTCAAGTTAAAATAAGATTAAACTGCAACAAACTCCTAAAACTTTGAAAGGAAAACACTTAGACAGCAAATCTTCTCCCGGCTGCTCCTCGAGGGGTAGACGTCAACTGGAGGGATAACTAAGCCAACTGGAAGGACAGATAGGTCACCTTCGGGAATAGAGGAGGATGTACAACATCATGTTAAAGGACAGATAGCGTAGGACTTACAGGAAAACGATTCTAACTACAGATATTCGCTGCAGGACCCACCTGAAGGAGAACTACTCCCTACGGGACCCACCTGAAGGGAAAGAGCCGCAAGCAGACGAAGGCTTCAGGAGGGCCATAGGTTGAACTGTCCCTAAAGCGCAGGTCGTGGGCTGACACCACTGTCACTATGAGGTGAGACTTGTCCTGGTCGTACCACATCTGAACCTGAAGCTTTCCACTCACCGGGTCGCGAGCAACGTCGCTCTGAGGAGGAGAGTGGCAGAGAGGCAGAGTGAAAGCGAGAGTGAAAATAAGTGCATGAGAGTACATGGGAGTGCATGAGGAAAAGACTGACAAGGAGGGAACTTGGGAGTCCACACCGAAGCTCTCTGCTAAGATGAATTATCAACCAATATCTAGATTAAGGACCATCTTGTAGTAGTACCACATTTGGCAGAGGTTTTGAAGAGATTAAGAAGTGGTTTGGAAGAGTCAAGAATGGTGATCATCACATTACTGTTGCACAATCCAGTTTTGGTCTGGTATGTGTTGTAAACAATTTACTTTTAATTTTATCCATCCATATATTTGAAAGATATTCAGTAATTTGTCTGGGTAAGATGTAAGCTTCTCGCAATTTCATGTATGATTTATATGAGAGGGAGTATAAGAGAAAGCGAGAGAGGCAGTAAGAGGTAAGAGAGGGAGAGAGGGAGGGAGGGAGGGAGGGAGAGAGAGAGAGAGAGAGAGAGAGAGAGAGAGAGAGAGAGAGAGAGAGAGAGAGAGAGAGAGAGAGAGAGAGAGAGAGAGAGAGATAGAGAGAGAGAGAATGAAAAAAGGGACACTTACCGGAATTCTGGGCAACTTTCTTCTAGAGCTGGAAGATTGCGATTTGTCGTTTTCACCTTCTGAAAGATCAACAAATGAGAATAAAATTAGTTAAGCAGACCATACTTTTAAAAGAGATAGAGAGAGAGAGTGAGAGAGAGAGAGAGAGAGAGAGAGAGAGAGAGAGAGAGAGAGAGAGAGAGAGAGAGAGAGAGAGAGAGAGAGAGAGAGAGAGCACCTACCTGACGGAGACCTGCCCTCTAAAGATCCTCTCTTCTGCTGCAGTAAGGCACTCGTCTCGTCACCATAGTCCAAGGAGCGTCTGAAAAAAACAGTGGGAAAAAATTCATGGAGGGTGAGTGGATTGAAAATATTTGTTTTTTCTTATCTATTTTTATTTAACAAAATTGTGTACAACAGCAATGTGCTGGTACCACCTTCTTCTATATAAGAGTTACATAGTGGGAACCCCCCATACTGTGTTGCTACACTATTGTGCATGATAGTTACATAGTAAGAACACCCGCAGTGTGTTGCTACACTATTCTGCATGATAGTTACATAGTAAGAACACCCGCAGTGTGTTGCTACACTATTCTATATGGTAGTTACACACTGGGAGCACTCACAGTGTGTTGCTACACTATTCTATATGATAGTTACACACTGGGAGCACTCACAGTGTGTTGCTACACTATTCTATATGATAGTTACATAGTGGGAGCACTCATACTGTGTTACTACACTATTCTATATGATAGTTACATAGTGGGAGCACTCATACTGTGTTACTACACTATTCTATATGATAGTTACATAATGGGAGCACTCATACTGTGTTACTACACTATTCTATATGGTAGTTACATAGTGGGAGCATTCATAGTGTGTTACTACACTATTCTATATGATAGTTACATAGTGGGAACACTCATAGTGTGTTACTACACTATTCTATATGATAGTTACAGTGGGAGCATTCATAGTGTGTTACTACACTATTCTATATGATAGTTACATAGTGGGAGCACTCATATGGTGTTACTATACTATTCTATATGGTAGTTACATAGTGGGAACACTCATAGTGTGTTACTACACTATTCTATATGATAGTTACATAGTGGGAGCACTCACTGTGTTACTACACTATTCAACATGATAGTTACATAGTTAGAAGAAAAACTAGCTGTGCTACCCCGTCACATTCAGTCAGGCGGGGATCTCCTACACAGCTCTAAAATCCATCAGCCTGAGCTGTGAGACCTCAGTAGGATAATGAGAATATCGTCAAGTATTCCACTCAGGCCGCAGGGATGGTAGCATGGAAACAGAAGGGTACAGCTTGGAATGATGGGAGGAAAAGATGGGATAGACTAGGTAGAAGGAACAAGGAGGAAGGGGAAAAAGAGATGGGATACACTAGCCCGAGGATAGGATAGGGATGATGAAATTCATAGTCTTGAAGAATGACCTAGCATGATTGAATACACATGCCAGGAGGAGAGATAAGAGAGATGGAATATTCAGGCTACATAAGCGAATCATTGAACGAAAATGCAACATGGATGGAAAATGCAACATGGATGGATGAATAAGAGAGATGAATTACATTGTCAGTAAAGCTGGTCACTTAGCAAGAACTCATTTAAATTAAGTCCTTTCTTAAATTTTCACTTATACGGTTAAAGATATATTTTTCATTTATGTTAATGTAAAATTAATAATTTTATATCAAAAGAAACTTAGAAATCTTAGCTAACATTATTATAAAAAGTGCAACTTAATTTAGCCTAATCCAACTAAATATATTTTAAATAAGTTTACAATAATTTAATAATAAACAAACACAATGAAATATATTTTTAGTTGGGTTCAGAATGATTTTTGCGAAATTATTGCATACACAAATTTTCGCTGCTTGCCTTATTCGGCAAGAAGAGCGTTGGTATTTAAGCCAAAATCGCAAGTTTTACCTATTCGGCACGATATATATATATATAATATATATATAAATATATATATATATATATATATATATATATATATATATATATATATATATATATACAGGCGCTGGCTTACCTAAACTATTATCTAGAGGGCTGAGTAAGGGTTGTTGAGGTGATTCGGACATGTAGACACAAGGGAAGGAAACAGAATGACTTCGAGGGTTCTGGTGGCCTGGTGGCTAACGCTTT